TCACTCATCTAATTCACTTCCTGAAACAACCATTTCAAAACAAGCTTTCCTCATATCAAAAGATTTATTTATTAAAAAGAGCAATTCTTTCTATGGAAAAGCAATGGATATAGTGAAAACCTTGAATTGTAATAGAGCAATCCCTGACCTAGATTCACTTACAACCAATCTAGTTGAATCATGCGTTAAAGATACTAAAGAAAACTACCAGAGATTCTGGAGACATAAACTTGAAAACTCATCCAAACTTACCTTCTACACAAGCATAAAGGAAGACTATGAGCTTGAAACTTATTTGACTACCATAACTAATTCAAACCAAAGAAAACATTTAACACAGCTCCGACTAAGTAACCATAAACTAATGATTGAACTCGGTAGATACAAAAACATTCCGCGAGAAGACCGAATATGCAAGGTCTGCCAGGCAGGAGAAATTGAAACGGAACATCACTTCCTAACATCCTGTGAAGCCTATAGTAGTCTCCGAGAAAACTTTTTAAATGACTTGGAAAGTGATCCCACCAATGAAACAGATTTAAACGAACACAGTTTATCAGTTGAGATAATGAAATCAACTGATAAAGAAACCGTCATAAAATTATCAAAATTTATCTCTTTATGTTTTGAGAAGAGATCTAAATGCCTTGAAGCTCGGAATGCTGACAGTCAATAGGCTATCGAACTAACTCCCAAACTTCTTCAATTACATATACTGTATACTGTAAATAGAGTATTCATTTGTTAACTATGCCTTTCTTTATATCAATAACTTCATTTTTATTTCTTGTATTACTCACAGTGTCATATTACCACAGAACATTTTGCATTTGTAACTATTTATAATTAACTAATAAGCTTTAGCAATACTTGTATGTGAAGTCATGCTAATAAAGCCATTTGTTACTGTTACTGTTACTGACTAGAAGGGGGGGTATTAATTTTTTTCAAGAAAATGATGGGGGGGGGGTGCAATTAAATTTGAAGTAATTTGCTTAATAACCTGGTATCCATTTGGTTGTAAATGTTGCAACTAAATCATGGTCACTGATGTGTGCTGTATGCAAATCAGTCTTTACGGATTGCAGAGTTAAATTGACAATGTATTACATCGATCAGCTCTTGATGTGGTTAAATACTATTATACTATTATGCAGGCTACATCCGCTGAGGGAGACTGTGACATCATATCGATCAAAGGGGGTTGTTTCATGCCTTGTTACCAGTGCTTCGGTCTGGGTATTCATTCTGCCATTGTATGCTTTGCCTAGCTGCAGCAAGTTTAGCACTTCAATACCTTTTCCCCACCCTGACCCACCCATGTTCATTCTAAAGGATTTTATCTGGTATATGTCATTTTATTTTATATAATTTTTAATTCATTGAAGTTTTGAATCCAGGTTGAAACATGTTTTATTTGTTCTTCCAGATTAACAAATGAACGCACACGTCAGTAATCTCGCAAGGTTGCATCTGACGCAAGATAGTAACGGAAAACTTTTAATAGATTCATTGTCTTTGATAATGGTTTCCGTTTAGGAAACCGAAATGTTAGACAAATTAAAGTATTTTACCTTTTTGTTAATCTGGAAGAACAAATAAAACATAATAATTTTTAATCTCACATAAAATAGGATGTATAGACCACTATACATTGTATTTCGTAGGTATGCCTTGGCAGAATTGTCATTGCTATTATCTCCTTTGCTGCTAATATTACTGATTGTTACTCTCATTGTTGCTGCGCAGCTGCTATGGCAATAATTCGTACCATCAAGTCTAGTTGCACCCTTAAACATGGTTACAATCGCCCAGACCAAATGGAAACCTGATTTTAGTGTTATATATAAAATTACTCCTCTTTTAATTATAATTTTCTGCTAATATATATTTTTGGTCGACGTTAATATCTTGCCAGTTAATTCCATATTCTTATTTAATAATTAACACTATAATGCCTACCCTGGATTCCAGAGCCTTCGACAGTAAATAATAAATTGAAACGTCGCGAAGGCTCTGGTTCAACAGGGAGATTATTTGATTAAACCGTGCCAATCACAAAACAAAATTGGTGGTTTTAGTACAGATTCTGTACTAAAACCAATAATTCTGTTTTGTGATTGGCGCGGTTTAATCAAAGAATCTCCCCAACAACCAGAGCCTTTGTGACGTTTCAATTTATTATTTACTGTCGAAGGCTCTGGACTGGCCAGGGTATATAATGCCTGGGTATCCCCATTTGACAAGTAAAAATGAAAATGGGGGGGTCAAAGAAAAATATTCTAATATGCAGGGGGGGTCATCATGAAATTTCTGCTCTTTTAGGGGGGGCTTTCAATTTTAAAAATTTAGAAAAGAAAAAATTCCCCTCCCCCCTTCCATAAATAATGACCGGTCCCTTAATACTCAGTAATTTACATTGTTAAGAAGTTAACAGGCCATCTTGTTCACATGTATGAATTTTACGTTTAGTATAATCTGCAGACCCGCAGACTGCAGACCAAGTACAAAATGCAGAATAGGTATAAATTGCAGACTGAAATTACAGACTTGGTATATATAAAATGCAGACTGTGAAAAAACATATATTTTAATATGTCATACTGTCATGAAGTTCAAATTATTTTGTACAACTTCAAGTTTTGTGGTTCATTGTGCAAAATTTAAAGTGGAAGTCAAGTTCGTTCTGCGCATTGGTTCTGCTCATAATAATGTGAGGACCTTCTAATGTGAACATTGCCCAAATTTCGAATGTTTCGAACTTTTCTGAACATAAACTCTATAAACGCATAGCGAACCAAAATGGTGTTAGATATTCAGACAGTACATAATGTTTTAAAAAATACAACAGTTCAAGATGTAGACAAACCGTTTGCTTACATTACAGACTTTTAATACGGACTTGACTTCTACTTTTAGCACAACAAAATCATAATATTACTGCGATAATCGGGCGTAAGCGGGTTTAATACACATTTGTCATTTAAATTAGAGGATAAATTGTTCTTTCTCAAACTTAAAAGTCATTCAGACATTCACTCCTCAAATTTAGTTTTGTGATGGTTTGTTGTTTCTAATTCTAAGTTTAGTTTGTGTATCTACCTCATTTTAGTTCAATATTTCTCTTTACTCTTTAGGTATTAAATATGGTTTACAAATATCTTAATTTTGCTTACGTTTACTATATTTAGCAGTTCCCACAACTCTCATAAAACTGGTCTTAGATTATATTTTGGTAAGGCGCATAATTTTGAAAACGGGCATATAATATGTAGTTTTATAGGTTTTTTTCACAGTCTGCATTTTATATCAAGTCTGTAATTTCAGTCTGCATTTTGTACCTGGTCTGCAATCTGCAGATTTTACTGACCGATAAATTTTATTCCATAGGAGTTGAAGTGGGCACAATGACAAGCTGTGCAAGTGTTCAGACCTGCACAACCATGCCAATTTGCACTCAAATTGATGCCACAGACAGCGATCACACCATAGGTACTAATTAACATGTTAAATCGTTAAAAGTATATCAATGTTCCTTTGGGAACAAATAGAAATGTGTGGCGCCAATATTACATAAAAATATTGTATTATTTAAAATTGTATACATCTCAGGCCCTGCTGATCATCCAATTAATTCGTCAGTCTTAGAAGAGGTGCCTAGTGAGGAAGCTGCTATACATGAAGGTAAAAACTAAATCTGTTTACGACAAAAGTGCCAGTTAATACTGTTACTCGTTAGCTCCAGTGTCAAGCGCGTATATAGTGATAGACGAGTGACCAGGTACCTTTAATACATATTATTCATTTTGATATGAGTTCCAAACTTTCTAATGTTCCCAAGGTATCAAATTCTGAGACTACAGAGGATATTCCTAATGTATCACATTTAAATAATTTGGTTACAGAAACCGAACAAAGTAAGCATAGCCATAAGCACAATGTTTTAATTTGTAATCAGTCAGTTTTTGAGATGCTGAAAATGTTCCCTGCCCCTGGTCATGTATTTCTTTTTATTTGTTTCAAAACTCTTGCTTCATAGACGTTCACAAATTTGCCATAACAATAGTTTTTGTCGCTTTATTAAGAATGATATAAATACTAGTCGTGTCCAGTAATTTGTGTTTTATCCTGATCCTGAAAAGTGTTTTATTTCAGGCAGGACCCTTCCATTCAAAGTAGAAACGACACCTATAAGAAAGGGGTCAAAAGAAAGCTATCAACCAATCTTCCAGACTTAAACAAATGTCCACTGTGCAAGTCAAAGAGAAAAGGGGTCTGGGTGCAATGCAGGGGCGGATCTAGGGTAAGTCCAATCAGTCGTGTGACTGACATATTTTTTGCAAAGAAATACTTTTTTTTCGAAATTTGAATAATTAATTCCTGAATATAATATGAAATTCATATTATAATCCAATATACATCTTTACAAACTCAGTTTTGAATAAATATATGCTTTATCTGGAGCATCAGTCCATTTCATTATCAGTCCATTCAGTTTCATTTTGGTTGGTCAATTTGAAATTATTGACAATTTCTATTGGTTCATTTTTTTGGACCCATTCGGACTTTTTCGCGGCTGGGGATATCAGTCCTTGGGGATATCAGTCCTTAAAGCAGTCTTGCATATTCCTGTATATGAATGTTTTTACGTGCTTCACAAAGGTCATGGTCGTAATATGGGTGGTAAAGCCAAAGGGAAAGTGTGCACTGCCACAACGTATGAAAATATCCAAAATTATGAAACAGAAATTAATATATTGCAATGTATCTTATATGTATCGTTTACAGTGGCGTTCCTGGGCCATTTCTAGTGGGGGGTGTAGCATCCCATTTTTACCGACGAAAAGGGCGTTTCCCTTTCCAATTGTCAAACATTACAATACAAATTTTTATAGGATAAAAGTTTTAATTTGAGTATACATATTTGGTAATTTTCAAGTATGGTACCTATTGCACATATCATATACCTTAGGAATTAATTAATAATTATTTTAGCAAAACTAGATTTTTATCATTCTTGATTTATACAAAGACCACGAGTTAGCTACTTTATCCAACTCAAGTTCGTCTAATATATCTACAGATGAAGATAAAATCATCAAGTCGTCAAGACGGTTTTCTTTCATCGTTGATCGCAAATAGCTTTTAACAAGTTTTAGTTTACTAAATGAACGCCCATTACTTGCGACAGAAACTGGAATTGGTAATGCAAGCTGGTACGCTTTCGTCGGGTTGGGATAAAACTGTTGTTTTCCAAGTACACACTTCACTGCTTCCTTCAGATTTTTGGCACCACTTTTCTCGATATCAGAAGATATTAGCTTAATCTCTGCACACATAGCGTCTGGATCTTTGAAGTCCTGTGGAAATGCTGCGCATAAATTTCCCACTTCTTGGAACAATTGGGTAAATTTGCTGGAAGCAAAATAATTATGGGTAGCACAATATCAGATAAATATTCATCAATTTCGTTTATGTCCGATACAAGACGATCTAATACCTTAAACATTTCTTTCCGATAGTGTTGGCTAAAGCTAGGCACAGTAGCATTGGCAAAATTTTCGTCGAAACGGGCAGGTGTCTCCGTGGTCGGTGTCGTTTTGAAAATTCGTACTCCACATTGATTCCATAGGACTCACATTTCTCAGTTGCTGCTGATATAATTCCCTCCATAGCAACATCATCTTCGCGCATGCGAAGCAATTCGTTTCGGGTTTGGTGTAGTACTTCGACACTCGCTAGGATATCTTGCTCGATTTCTTGCACTTCCATCACCACAATCTTCGCTTTGTAAAGCACATTCTTCATAAACAAAACACTGCCATAAAATTCGAATGACTTTAACTCATTCTCATCCGGTCGAAAAGTAACAATTTCGAGTGGTGTTGTTTCAAACGCTTATATCTCTCAAATTATACATCGCACGGAAACAGAAATTGCATCGTTCGAAAGAGGACTTCTGCTTTCCAACAATACCAATTTCATCCGGAGCTTGGTTAACGATTTACTCGCATAAATTTGCATAAATTATGATATAAAAAAATGTTGCAATTATGCATAAACGTATTTAGCGGTTCAAATTTCAAATATGTCAAAAAATTTTATGAATATGACTGAAAGACACGGTTATGATCTACAAGTACCCGAAGTTTCATGCATGTAGCATAAATAGAAATATTTTTATTGAATTTTTATATAAACTAGGTAGTGGAGTAAAATTTACATTTTGTGCTCACATGAAACAAATACCTTTATCAAAGGTCCTTTTTTATTTCTGCAACATGTTATCAATACAAATTTCCAATATTTCTTACTCTCCAAAGATAGTATGGCACCAAAATAAGTCTGTGATACCCACAAAAGAACACTCAAATCATGATTAGCAAAATGTCTTTATTTCTACAATTACTACATACATTCTTAGATAATCATTACACTATTGACTTTAGTTATTCGTAGCATAACCATCCTCAAAATTGGGTCATGCTATTCAAATTTGAAATAATCACTACTCATTTGTTTAGAAATTGATTGTTTTCACAATCTAGAACATGAAAATATTTGCAAATAGGATGACCAAGTGTTGTTGGGCTGGCATCATCATAATTAGTAGTTATAAAAAAGTAATGTTTTCCAAGGCAGTAATGTTTGCTAAAGCAGTAATGTTTGCCAAAGCACATAATTGGATTATGTGGTGAAAATATTTCCTTTATATTGTACTACAAAAGACCTAAGACTGTAACCAAACTGATATCAGATCACCACGTCATACCCAAATCTGTTGCGATGAATATCTGGACTTCTTCCTGTATAAATTTCAAAGTCGCAATATAACCATTACGATTGTCTGCAGCAACCCACAGATTTATTCCCCACATAGTAGGTCATCTAGCTTTCATGAACTGCCTAACCCCGAACCTATTTCTTGATTTGACAGTGTGTTTGTCTGCAACAACAATATTCTGTGACGGCTGGTACAGTTGTTGATGCAGTTTATTGCTGTAGTCTTTAGTACTGGATCTACCATATTCACAAGCGCCATAAGCGCTTTGTACCTAACCCGAGAAATTATGTCTATTGCCCACAGACCATGATATAAGGTTTTTACACTCCAATAATTTTCAATCTCACTGTCGACCTTTAGCAAACCTGCATATTATACTAAAAGGCAATCAACCTCTCAAGGTTGGTGGACTGCAAGACCCTTTTTTATTAGTATATGGGGATAACTTTTGAGTTAGTTGTATGTGGGCATATGTATTGGTATGGCCAGGAAACTACCTCCTGAAGCATTCCCTTAGTAAAAAAGAGTCGAATGAACTCAAGCTCACAGTTCATTGAGCCGAATGAACTCAAGCTCACAGTTGATCGAAATGGATCCTGGACATGTCAGTGAGGAGCAAAATCTGGGAGAACATTCCTGGCGTCAGGATCATCATATCCATCATGTACTATGGGGCCTAGTGGGGATGCTAGACAGGGAGCTTTCGAAACCTTAGGTCCTAATGGCTGGGCTTCCCTCTACCTCTGCTCATCCCCCTACCTTCCCTCTGGGTTGGTGAGTGGGGTTCTCATGACTCATCAGAACTCTACTTCCCTGAGGCTATGAAACAGGAACAGCAGATAGGAACAGGATCAATATATTCATCAGTGCGAATAAAAACTTTTAGAGACATGGTGCCATATAAAATTATAATAAGAGCCAACTAGTAAGATATAAGTATGAATACTTGGCTATTATGTATGTAACAAACAACCAAACATGTGCTCAAGGCTCATTTTACTTCGCCTAGGAATCAGAAATTTTTATGCCTAAAACACCATAAATTTTCGTCAACAATATAAATAAATACCATTTATATTTGTCAATTTCAGTATGAAACGATTATTTCAACACAAAAAGCGATATGAGGACATACTTGGTCGTACTAGTGAAGCTATACTAAATACAAATAAATTTACAACGCCATGGCAACGGCAAAACATTGAAATAGAAATTGTCTAGAAATGATACAAATACTTGCCTTGAAACTCCAGACACGACTCCCAATGCCAGGTTGAGATACTTGTCTTCATACGAAGACATTCCATCATTACTAGCACTATCAGTTTGCAAAATAAAGCCAAAAACAAAACGTCTTCAGAATGCGATTCAAACAAAACTACAACACAATACATTTCAACGCTTGTGCGTTCCCGTGCGCGATGATCAGGAAAATTGCTCTAAAAGATTTGTTTTTCTGCCTAAGCCAATCAGAATCCGTATCTAGGGTAAACAAACACTCCGGAAGTGATTCCTGCAGTCTTTTACCAGGAAACTGTAATGCTTTACCAAGAATTTGGCGTCCGAAGTTGGCCGAACACTTTCCGATCACGAGAATTGCCATAATAGGCTTAGATTATTTTGCAATTTCCCGAGACTGCTCCGAGCTATAGAATGGAAGATGGCGATTCTTTTGGTATATTTGTTATTATTATACGTGGAAAAGAAGCAAAAAGACGAACATTTGAATCAGGCGGAACATTCAAAATGCAACTGCAAAATTGATAATGTGTCATTTGCATAAATTTCACCGCATTGATCATTTCAAGGTAAGAAATTCGCTTGAAATTGAGCGAGAAACAATAAAATTATATGAATATTTCTGAATATATAGTATCGATCAAGCGGAATTTTTTGGTGGTATTTTCGTATGTCTACTGCAAATACTCGCAAAGTTCTTTAATATTTAATCTTCCCATCATATACATCGGAAATTAATATTGGTGGATCGAATTGAGTTAATTTGTCTAATAAATTTGTGGCAGTCTTTTTGGCATCATGATCTGTTTCATCACACTCGTGAAGAGTGCCAATCACTGTTTCATAACTGACCCATACAGCTTTGATTGACTCAGCTCTGCCAATCCATCGAGTCTGTGAAAGATTCTTCATGATGAGCCCTTCCTGTAAACTTTCGATTTTGCTCTGTAATTTTCCGAATCTACTTGTGCTTTTTGTTAGGAAGTTATAAAGCTCTTGCAATGTGGTAAAAAACTCCTCGATCATAACGGAAGATTTACGGGAATGTTCGACGCAAAGATTTGCTTTATGACCAAGACAAGTAATGTCGCTCCAAATGCTCACTTAACTTCGCTTGTGCCCCATTGTAATAAACCCCGGACATTGAAGCTGTTGTATCATAGCACTGAAAATGTATACCAGCATGGGGAATATGCAATTCTGTTACGATTGCTAGAACCTTTTGAGAAAATCCATCACTGGTTTTAGAAGAGATCTCTGATATTTTGAGAAGCCGTTCTTGGATGCGAAACTCTGCGTCCACATAGTGTATAATTAAAGATATTTGATCGGCATGAGCAACATCGGGTGTTGTGTCAGCAAGTACAGCGTAAACAGCCGAAGAACGTATTTGTTCTGTTAAAATATTTGTTCTGTTAAAATGTTGCGCACTTCAACTGCTAAAAGGTTGATCAATTCATTCTGGGATTTACCACTCAAGTAAGTGACACGGTTTGGATGTAAATGGGCTGTGGTCAACCAGGTTTATAGAAAAGGAATCCAGCGTGACAATAGGTTTACTAATTGTCTAAAGTTTCCATTTAGATCATCATCACCACCACAAAAAGCAAGGGCTTGTCTTGACAAGTATCTACAACAATCTAGAATAACTTTAATGTCTTCTCTATTGTGCAGACGTTCCCGCTCTTCTTGGGCAAGTGTTTAATGTTTTAATGTTTTAATAAGATTCGGCAACTACCCAAAAATACAACAACGTAGTGCCAGGGAGTTCACCACAGGTTCCCCCAATTACGGCGATCCCTTAATATTTACATAAAATTACGTTCAAATAATTGATTAACGAAACAGACAAAGTAGAACAACACAATTACAAAACGGCTAAACTGACAACTAACAACAGTTTAAAACACTGTCAAGGGATCTAACCCTTTTACATCTAACACAGACAGATTTCCAAGTCCGAGGATCGTCACAGTTATACGTGTTCGATAGTGCGTTCTTATAATACAATTTCAGTCCTGATTTAAAAGCATAAAAACCAATGTTTCTGTCTCGAAGGTTATCACTTAGGATGTTCGAGGTTTTACAAGCTCTAATAAAATACGAGGACTGGAACGTTACAGTTTTGGCATAAGGTATTAAGAATTTAATTCGATTGTCATTAGTTTCACTTCTAGTGATTCCTGATCCTGATATAACCGGTCGAGCGCTGTTGTCAATAGAAGTAATTGCTTTCTCGCATTAGATAATGCTACATCGACGTGGTGACTTCTTTTTGAAAAAATATCGAACCGATCAACCGATGCTTTATGAGCTGCACTAGTGAAGTGCTGTACCAGTTTTCCTTGCTTGCTTTTCCCCAGGCCTTTCATCTTATCCCAGCGGTTTTCTCCATCTTTTGTCCATGAACATGATGTCCCAGGACCCTCCCTGAACAGGCTGCAAGCAAAACAAAAAGCTCGATCCAGAGTTGGACTGTATTCCAAAAAAGGCATTGATACGTACCATTTTGATGTAAACGAATTTTGTTTCGATTTAGCGATTATCTGGTTCGTTGGATAACTTTCAAGAATCGGCTGACAAGGTCCCAAGGCTATTAGAAAATTCTTTTGTGACTCATTCAGCTTTACCCCAATACGTTCTGCTGGATCGTTTGTCACGATAGAAGACTCCTCTTCAACTGATTTTTCCAACGTTTGCTTCAGAACATTCTCTTCACAAGTTAAAGCTTCTTTTGATGATGGCAATAACAAGTGACATTTTTCTTTCAAATCTGATGCAAACTTCTCGATAGTTGAAATAAATACATCTTGGCTATAATCTTCCGACGCGAACGATTCGTGCAAATCTTGGGCCTCTTTTAGCACATCCAGAATTTCTCCCAACATGCCCGCTAATTCATGGTCTTCTATTGTTGACTGTTCAGGCCCATCATCCAAATAAAATTACAAGGATTTACACTATGCCTACATTTCTTCCAAAATTCTACAAAGTCCAAGACATAAATTTATGAAAGTGAATTGAAGATGACTTACCAACGATAGCATGGGTTGAATAAGGTCATTAAACTGAAAGTTCGATGATGAATGAGACGATGTACTGGCAGCACTGCTTATGTCATCTTCTGGAAATTCCGGGGTGTTAGTTTCGATGAGAACATCACTTATTGAATCCTTATCTATTTTCTGCTTCTTTGCTTCTTGGACTGTTTGATCCGGTTCGTTTTCGATTTTATTCCAACCTCGTTTTTCTATGGATATTTCTAATTCTGGGTCACGCGCATCACTCATGAATGATTGTACTTCTTCTCTTGATGTTGAGGGAATATCTTCATCTGAGCTCACACTGTCCGTATTTTCTTTGTTCTTAGTCTCTGTGTCCGCACTTTCAGCAGTCGGTTTCGTCGAAACAACGGTAACTTTCCGAGCAGCTGTGTCAAACGGATTTTTGGGCGCCCAACTACTTCGTAGAGAATAGCTTTATGCTGTTTCTGCAAATCATGGTGTTTTTTTGAATTATGCTTTTTCTTGTAATCAAAATCCATTTCAGCACCACATTCTAAACATTTAATTTTAAATCGATTTTTTCGTTCGTTTCGTTTCGTACATCGTTTCGCATCGTTTTGTACTTTTGTAGCGTTCCAAGACCATATAAAGTATGATGATTTGTCTATGTTTATATATATTCTAGATAAGTAGGGCCTTTCCCATGACTTTACATAATTTACATCTACTACCGGTACGCAAATCGTGGGCGATACCGCCGATACAGAAGGGAGTGCTTACCGCAGTGTGCCATGTCATTGGCCATTTGGCCCACCCGCAAATAATGCAAATCCACTAGATGTTTACACAATCGTATCGTGACAGTTTGCTTTTTCAAAATGCTTTAACAAAATGCCAGAAATGAGTAAGATCATTAAGATGTGCTGTACGCAAGTCAGGCGACGCATATGTATCATAGTATGTGACGCGCTATGTGTACAAGTTTATTTTTAATTTACAAAATTTGTCACACAAGAATTAGACAAACATAAATTACATAGTACTTTACACGAAAGATGTTGAGTTAAGGCGATTATATTCTGATTCTAAATGTGCAAATTGGTTTATTATTTGTCTATGCTTTATATTTTAGTGCTTATATATAATTAATATATACATATAATTTTTGTTCATTCAGCTAAAAGCAATTGCGCGAAAGAACCGACGACCGTAACGATTTTGAAATGTGATGTTGTATAATTTACACAAATACACAATGCGGTGAGCCGGTGAATGCTATTAAATCGTGCATCGATTATCGGATTATATATTATATTATACTATTGTTGGCAGATACATTACGCAAATACAGGATTAGCGCAGTGCGTGCTGACACAATTTAACCGACCACAGGATATCAATGTAAAACCACTATCGAATAACGTATTTCTCAATAAACATTATTCTGTTAGACATGATCGAGCATTTAATCGCCAGCAGAAATCTTGAATTCTTGATTTACCAACGAAATACCAGATGAAATTGTAGAATAATTGCTTCAGTTTTAAAAATTTTTTTGTTACTTCTCATTTTAGTATTTTACCAACGATGAATTAACTAGTTTACCGACAAGCCTTCAATTTTCCGATTTTACCGACAAACTAAGAGAAAACTGGGGGTGCAACACCCCCCGCCCCTCCCCCCCCCCCGCCCGGCACACCCATGATCGTTTAGGTCAAATAAACCGCGTGAAACATTGTTTTGACAAACACACATTAACAATTATAATTAACTCTCTAGTTTTTTCAAAATTATATTATTGCTCTACAGTCTGGAGCAACACTTCTCAAACAAATTTAAATAAGGTACAGGTAGTGCAGAACTTTGCTTGTCGAATAGTTAGTGGAGTTGGCAAATACGATCATGTCACACCGATCCTACAAGAACTAAAGTGGCTTCCGGTTCGACAGTATTTATATTATCGTGATGCGGTCATGGCATTTAAATGCATGACAGGAAACGCACCTGTGTACCTAACTGAACAGTTTGTGAGACAAGGTGACATTTCATCTTGCGTTACTAGGAACTCAAGCATGATTGATACTCCTTTATACAGAACAGCAACTGGGCAAAGATCTTTCAAATTCAGAATGGCCACAATTTGGAATTCCTTAAAACCAGAACTTAGGGCCTGCAAATCTTAAGAAATCTTGATGTAAATAGCATATATATATATTTGTGTAGTACTACCACGTGTGTGTGTGTGTGTGTGTGTGTGTGTGTGTGTGTGTGTGTGTGACTGTGTGTGTTGTTATGTGCTTCTCTATTATTATGGTGTATAAAAATTTAGATCAATTATGTAAAATTTCGCTGAAAAGCCTTTTAAGGGATGTGAAATAAAATACAATACAATGATAAATGCGGAGTTGAAATATAACATACCCCAATACCGGTGATACATACCCCCCAGACTGATGGTACGTACCACAATGCCGGTGGTACAAAAAAAGAAAAAGTGCTATGTACAAAAAATACTGGTGGCACATACTAGATTTGCCGTCCTTACAACAAGGCTGTCAATACAAAGGAAACAAATTGGTGATACATTATATGTCCAATGTTACATAAAAAATACCATAGAGAGAACTCGGTAATTACGTGTTAAAGTTGTTGCCTCGAGGGAAGAGCAGGGTTCAAACCCACCAGTGGCACAACCCTCGAAATTCGCCTCGGCACTCGGCAATTGCCGACGAAAATGCCGAGGCAAGTTACGATTTTTCATAGTTTGCCTCGGCAAAAAAATGCCGAGGCAATTCTACCCGTGAACCGTACATAAATTACAAACTACGGCGTCTGTTCGATTTTTGCTTAAATTTACAAACTACAGCACGGTGTTCGTTTTTTTTATCACTTCCTCGTTCCAATTGTTGTCATCGACGTTGGGTGAACAACAGAAGATTTCATTCATAGCTACTTTACAAAATATTTCAATTTGAGCTTTCCAGCGTCGGCTTTGGCTGAAATAAAGAACAATCTTGATGGTTTAAAGATGGCACGTCGACAAACTTTGTTTTATCTTTTAGACTGTCGCGTGATTACCGTCAAGTTTATTCTTTCATACTATTTGTTGTTTATTACCACTAACTTTTTAAAAACATTTTGAATCAGGAATTTGTTAAATAACAACAAATTGTCAAACGTCAGAATCTACGCTCGTTATAATAATTGTTTACGATAATTTCCCTATTTGCTTTACTTTAATTACAACTGCCGACTTGAATGCCGAAGTAATTGCCGAAGGAATTTGTGGTGATTTCATTGCATGCCTCGGCAAAAAAAATTGCCGAGGCATTGCCGAGGCAAACTCGAAAATTATGGAAAGACTTCGGCAATTATTTGCCAAGGCAAAAATAGTTGAATTTTGAGGGTTGGTGGCATAGCCAAGGGGGCCCCTGGCCCCATTGAGCAGAAGGACTGCCCTTATGAAAATCTGAAATTCGGTCCTCTTTAAATTGTGGTTGATAGCGACAATGTTATCTCTGCATTACAGAACCCTAACCTGTACTGAATTGCCTCGATTAATGTTGGTCGCATTGACAGTCTGGCATTCTAACACTCTAACACAATGTCCTCCACTTCTTCTGAAGCAGTAACAGCGTCTGGTTTCATGCTCAAGGAATATGGAAGGGTTCCTGTGATCTCTTTTTTTGGGCGTGCTCAGAGTGTTTTTCTTTCTGTAAAATGATCACAGGTAACAGTAATACAAATTGAGACTTGCACACCACGAGGTTAATACTAAAATATCTATATATACATATCACCGGTCTTTTACGTTTGCCCCACATGATGATATATTTGTATCATCTGCAAACATACTTACACTAGTACTGGAGGGAAGGCAATTAGGTAAATCATTAAGATATCAAAAAGAGTAGTGGGCCTAGGTTGGAGCCCTGAGGAACACCGCACTGTATGATTCTTTTACTTGATGTTGTTTGTTTTATTTTGCACATTTGCTTCCTGTTAGTTAAATAGGATCTGAACCACTCAAGCGTTTGTTCTTGTATGCTGTACACATCCATTTTTTGAGAAGAATATCATGATCTACACAATCAAAGGCCTGTTATCAAGGAATAAAACACCATTCAGACATCCATTGTTCATGTTATATGTAAACAACGAGTTTGAGTGTTTCATCAGGGGATCCAAACACGAGAAAACTGTATGAAACACGAGCGCGAAGCGTGAGTGTTTTATTGTTTTCGAGTGTTTGGTCCCCTGATGAAACACGAGAAACGAGTTGTTTACATAACATCTCGAACGAAAACATTATTAAACTGGATAAACACGGGAATAGAAGTTATGGTGTGTTCTGCACATGCGTATATCTAGGATAAAATCCCACAAGCGCAAACGAAACTATTTCTCTATAAAGTTGAGCTGAAAGGACTCACAGCGACCGTTTTGGCAGTGCTTCAGGCGCCCGATGATATTGTATGAGGGGCCTTTAGCACTGTCAACTTCTCATCTTGAGATGTTCACGTTATCGCGTGTACTTGTCAGGATGACGAAGGATTGCGAATAATGTGTGTGTGTGCACTGATACACGCTGCATTATTTTTAATAATGCTGTGTGCACGCTGCATTATTTTTAATAATGCTGTGTGCACGCTGCATTATTTTTAATAATGCTGGGTGCTATTTTAGCTTCTCGACATTCGCTGATATAATGCAGAGAGAAAACAATACGTTATTATGACCGTCAGTAATTATTATAGTATATTGTTGTGTTTTGACTTGAATTTGTAATTAGGATCTCAGTTATTAGATGAAAACCGTTTTTCATCTAACAACAGTGATGGTATATGATTTTTAGCGTGTTTCCTTGCGGTATCCAACCTCAATCATGTGACGAATTAGGGTGAGTTCATTCGCTAATTTGCTCATGAATTATTAATGAGTTCGAGATGTTTATATACCACTCGTTTGTTATGCTAAGAAGGGATGTTTGGGTAGCATGTTGTTTTCTAAACCCAGCCTGATGTTCTGTGATCACGCCATTCTCTTCCAGATAAGTTTCAAGTTGTTTAGTAATCAAGCTCTCCAATATTTTGGCTACTGCAGACAAAACCGAGATAGGTCTATAGTTATTACAATGCGTTTTAGACCTTGATTTATGAATTGGTGAAATGATAGCTGCTGTAAAATCATTTGGCAATAAATATATATGTCAATGAGGGAGCTATAAGGTCGGCTGCATCCTTCAAAATTCATTCGGAATTCCATTGTGCCCGATTGATTTCGTCGTTTTGACTTCTGAAAGGAGTTTAAACCTCTTGTATAGTAACGTTTTGAATTTGAAAATGGGATTTGCAGCATATTAAATGCTACTCAGGCGATTCCTAACTTTGAGATAGATTGGCAGCAGGTTGAGGTCCAACTTCACTGAAGTACTCATTTAATGTATTTGCAATTGTATGATCGTCAGTTATGTGTTTACCACTCTGATGAATTTCAGTGATATTGGTTGTTTTAGAAGTTTTGTTAGTTCACCTATTTATATTGTTTTCCACATTTCTTTAGGATTTCTTTCACAACTGTTAAGTATTTTTTTTAAATATTTGGCTTCAGTTTTCTTAATCAATTTATTTAACTCATTGCGCAGTTTTTTATAAGCATCATGATATTGTTAAGATTTTGATAGTTAGCAATGAGTTATTGGGATACCACCGTATTGCTATCTTGTCATTCTCAAATTTCTTTGCATCGCCACCCGGTGTTGACCATTCAGTTTGAAGTCTGAGTTGTTGATTTATTAAGTCTTGGAGCCCTTGAAAGTTGCCTCTCCATTTGAGTTTTCCTTCCGCTGAGATAGTCAGATATTTATATTTTTGATTTGTTTGTTCTGTTTGTTCAACATCAGACACTTTGTTTAATTCCATCATCAAAGATGCTTCGGGTCAACTAACAAATATACAGGGTCAACTTTCTATGTATAATTTTTATGCAACACTGGACTTTTTTATGTATCACCAATTCGTTTTCTTTGTATCAAGGGCCTTTTTTGTAAAGACAGCAAATGTAGTATGTGCCACAGGTATTTTGTACATAGCACTTTTTCTTCCTTTGTATCACCAGTATTATGGTGCATATCACCGGTCTTTTACTATGTATTGTGTTTTGTTATAAAGTTTGTGCCAAAGTTCAATTCGTCTGTTTGCCAAGTGGTAAAAACAGCATCACATGCCAGTCGACAAAACATATTTTCAGTATTACATTAAACAATATATTATAAAAGGTCTGTGATACGTTGTAATGGCCGACCGGTGATATGGAAACCTTCTGATGTCCCAGGCCTTAGATATGCCTTGTCATCAATGCTATGATGGGAATTGGCTGCAACATCTTTTCCAAAAAAGGCAGATTTAATATTCTTCACATGTGCCTGTTGGTAATATGTATTTTCATTGTCAATGTCTTCTGTTTTTGGTGGCTTTTTTGTGCAAAACAGTCGTTTTCCTCTTTGCTTGGACTGATTTGGATGATTTTGGCTTGAATGAATGAACCACTTTATTTAAAGAGGGTAGAAACACATGACAGCAATATAGCTGAAAAACCTGTGGCCCTCGTATACAATACATACAAAGTTATTAATTCTACCTTAAAACGTCTAAAAGCTACTTAGAGTAAAAATGTAAAAGATCTTAGGATTATAAATTTATATATACAAATTATATACAGTACAACTTGATGATCACAATAATAATTCAAAGCGATCGATGCCCTTATAAGATTCTAAGAAGTATTTTTTAAGGGCAAACTTAAAGGAATTAACGCTAGATTTCGTCTTAATATCCTTCGAGATTGTTCCATATTTTAATGCTGCTGACCGTTACAGATTTTCCTCCCTCAGTTGCATAATTATATTTAGGACACACTAAATTATATTCGCCATGACGAGTTTGTCTACCATTAATTTCATTGTTTATTTTAAATAAGTTCTTAATATATTGTGGAGCTTGGTCGTGCAGGCTCTTGTAAACTAAAGTGCATTTGTTAATTTTAACTTCGTCATAAAAAGGTATCCAGTTCAGTTTATTAAAATTGGCTATTGACCTGGAGGAAGTGTCGGTTCCTAAAATTACCCGAGCTGCTGTTTTTGTAATTTAGAAATTGTAAGCAGATCATTTTGCGAGCAGCAACTCCAAATAGAACTTCCATACATCATAACTGGCTTGACGACAACGTTGTAAAATAGCTTTCTGGTAAGTAAAATAGCTTTCTGTAAAATACCTCTCTGGTAAGTATCTTTCTCAGCAGGCCGATTTTTTTACTAAGATTTTTACTAAGTTTGTTTATATGCTCTTTGAAAGTTAAATGTTCATCAATGATTACGCCAAGTAATTTTTGTGAAGAAACCAGTTCAATATTTGAATCACTTGCTGTAAGAGGTAAGGAAGATAATTGCATTCGGGATTTAAGGCGTTTACCAGTAATAAGAATTGATTTGGTTTTGTCAGCATTTAGTACCATTCTATTTTTGTCTGACCACTCACATAGTTTGTCTATATCGTGTTGAAGGTTAACTTGTAATTCAGTCGACGCGACAGAGAAGTAGGAACTTGAAGAGAAAGTAGTGTCATCTGCATATACATCAACAGTTGAACTAGGTATGTTTGGAGGTAGATCATTTATGAAAGCAAAAAAGAGAAGAGGGCTAAGAATGCTACCTTGAGGGGCATCACAAGTTATACATAATGGACATGATTTGAAGCCGTTAATTTCTACAAACTGTGTCCTGTCTGAGAGGTAATTTTGGAAAATCTTGAGATAGGTATCATCCACTCCATAAGCGCTTAACTTTTGCAATAAAAGCTGGTGGTCAATCAGGTCAAATGCCTTGCTGTAGTCTACGAAAACGACGCCAGTAACATAGTTTTTATCAAGGTCAAGAAGGATTTGGTCTAGTAAGCGAATTAGAACAGTTTCAGTCGAGTGGCGTTTGCGAACGCCAGATTGCAGGCCATATAGGAAATTGTTACTGGATAAGTGTGAATATAGTGCTTTCGTAGAGATGTCTTTCATATAATTTTGAGAGGATCGGAAGAACAGATATTGGTCTGTAATTTTGTTTGTGTTCTACATTTCCTTGATTCTTAAAAATGGGGGTGACTTTGGCTACTTTCCATCTGGATGGGAAGGTATTGGTGGATATGCAATGGTTTATGAGATGTGCAACTGAGCTTGATATGGATGGAGCAGCAATTTTAAGTAATTTAGGACTCAATCCGTCAGCACCTTTTGCTTTATTTGCTGGCATAGAATTTAGCATTTGAAGTACCTTTTCTGGAGAAATATGTGGAATTTCAAACTTTAATTATCTTTATCTTTATAGAGTTTAGCAGAGACTCGTTACAAAAAGTAGACTTTATAGATGATAAGAGACGTTGTGGTTGACTGACAAAGAAAGAGTTAAAGATTTCGGCAATACACCTATTGTACACAGTTGTGGCACTGTTGATTAATTTCTTGTTTTTACTTGTTAGTCTGTAGTTAGCAATATTTAAGAGGTCTCTCTTTTTAACTCTTCTATTTGTGTACATGACTAAACCATGATATGTAGCCTTATCTTCGATGCTCTTAGCAATAAACTCTTCATCTTCACTGTCTATTAAAGTTTTATTGGCTTGGCTTGTCTCTGCTCTCTTTTTTACTCTGGTTTCTTCAAAAATCGTGCTAGCTTTTCTTTCCTTCATCTGATAAAACGTTCGGTGATGTTATGTTGATCTTCCTCCTGCTGGAGGTGAGATGATCCCTTCGATGGATGTCACCCTGTCTTGCTTTTACTTAAGTTCTTCCTCCATATCCATGATAGACACACTGCCCTACTTTCCTCTCTTGGCTGAAATTCTTTGCATAACAGCATCTATTTCAATGGCCAACTTCCTTTTCTTTTTGTTTAGTTGTTCCACCACCATATATTAGATGCTGTGATATTAGCATTGTCCCAGGCTTTCACAGCATCTTGCACTTTCAACATAAAATGTATTTATTACATATAAGTATATACCTATACAACCAGTTAGTTAGCACCAGATATTCAATCATGGTATAATGGTAAATAATAGATAAATACCATTATACCATAAATAAATACCATGACATGTTGAGAAATTAACGAATAACTTAGGTATGTGAAAGTCCTTTAGGCATTTCCCTCAGGCTATGCCCTACACCCTACCCTATGCCCTACAAATTTGCTGAATCAGCGACTGTCTTGATATTACTTTATATAATAAAACAAACAATATAGATACTAACCTTCAATGTATCTGACCCATTATGTTGTCAGGATCAATTCCAAGTTCACTGATTTTTGATCTTGATCGTTCTGATGCTAGCAAAACCTGAGCAACCTTCCGGTCCCATTCTGTGTCAACAGTAGCCAGTATTTCATGACCATTTTCAGCATGCAGCTGTAATGTGCCTTCTAGCATGCTACTAGGCCTTGGATAACATATCAAGGAATGTATCTAGATTGCATGAGTCCGGTCTTAATACAACAAGCCTTTAAATATTCCACAAACACGATGTAAACACAGAGACCCCATCCTTCATCTAAAAGGCATACAAAAACTTATCCTTGTCTGTATTAATGAATGGTTGACCATTGTTGTGATGTGCAAAGAAAAGTTCCATGGCTTCCTCAAAACGTAAAAAGCTGTTATTGTAGGCCTTGCCATCCACGCCAATGTGTTTGCATTGAAGAGCATCAAGCACTGCTAGAAGACCCACTATTTTCTTCCTCTTGTCATCATTTGATGGGCTGGTTTGTTGTACCATATGCTGTAGAACATGGTTATTCCTTAAAGAACAAGGTTTCAGAGATTTTAGAACATGTCTTGTCTCACCACAAGTAACATATGGGCCTTTGCTGTTAACTCTGCTCGAGCATCATTTTCCCCATGAAGCTCCGTCTCCTTTAGTCTTGGTCGTCCTTCCATGCTGTTTCTTACATCGAACTGACTTTCGTTTGCTTTTATATGTCTGTTTTCAGTCACAATATTAAAAGACAAATCAGTGTGTGACAAGAGTTCAATTTCCACAAGCAGCGCTATGTCGGAATTCATCGGAATAATTAATATTGTGTCTAACCCCCAGGTGTTTCTGTGTGAATAAGATAGACTACCTGGTCTATAGATTACCAAAGATTACAAAGATGGATTACCATTTGAATTATATGTACACCCTGATGCATCCCATTGCTTTTAAGCAAATACATGCACTTGAGGTTACTATTTTAAATGTTAGAAGCTCAAGTGTGTCAGTATGACCTGCAAGATTTAAGATTACAGACAAATACAATGAAATCTTACATTTATCCATACAATGGAATGGCAGATATTAAAATTATTTAAGGCCTAATAGGCATAAATTGTACAAGAGTACCTGGTTATAGCATGTGATGTCCTTGCAAGTTTAATCAAGTTTCAAGCAATTAACTATATAGCTTGTCTCTTGGAATTGAATGGCAAGCAAACCAAAGAACAAATAATTACAGATCTGTAGAGTTAATTTCCTCATATCTGCCAGGTGTCCCACAATATAGGTGAGAAGTCACAACTTCATATTTTGTTCTCGCAAACCTGCATGCATGCCAAAATTTGCCTTAAATTTGCATGTTTCCACATTTCTTGAGAAAACATATTTTGTGAAGCACTTAGTTGTATATTTTAGCTTTTACAACATCCTGTCAAAAGATTTATTGCTCTGTTTGTTCAGAAATTGTTAATTGTATTGCAATTGTTAATTGTATTGCAGTTACCCCTTTGGAAGTAGAAATGGAAATACTATTATTACCTGCCAATAAGGCTCACAGACTATATTCATTTGCAGCACCAATCCTTAAAGGTGTGAGAACTATTATTTCTAAACCGTTAGCAAATATTATGAATGCATCAATTGAAACAGGCATGTATCCCTCTTAACTAAAACATGCACAAATCGTGCCAATTTTTAAAAGCGATGACAAAGAAGAACCAGGAAACTGTAGACCAATTTCGTTACTATCTAATTTAAATCGGATATTTGAAAAACTTATGTATAATAGACTAAAAATATTTATTGACCAAAACAACATATTATGTTCATCGCAATATGGATTTCGAGAGAGTTATTCTACAAACCATGCTCTCCTTGATATTGTGAACAAAATACAAACAAATATGGACAATAACCTTTTTTCGTGTGGTGTTTTCATAGATCTTCAAAAAGCCTTTGATACAGTTACCCATGAAATATTCCCCGAGCCGGCGGCGCAAAGCGCCGTGCGAGGGTAATTCCGCCCGGCTATTTACACCCGGGTGTTTGAAAACATAGCGAAGTGCAAAGTTGTCCTCCATTATGTGATGGACGGTCTTCGATGTTATTGCGCATGCACGTGTAATAGCTCGCACTAAAATTCTAAAAATATTGTTTTTCATTTTGCAAAGATGTATTTTGATATTTTACAATATATTTCTGCGACCTATTTCGCTATTTAACTGGAAAAAAATCCTGCAGTTTCATGAATTAGTGGCTGTCAACCGTGAAACAAAGTGTGAAAGGCATGCATAAAGTTATAAACTGATAAACACAAATTTTGTCGAAGACGAACCACATCGATGTTTTTAATATAAAATTTAATCGTTGTCTTGACTCTTGGCTATCT